AAAACGGCCTCCTTGACGAGGCGCTTGAGGGACTCAAAGAACACGTTGAAGATCAATCAAAGCTTCTTCAAAGCCAGCGCCGAGAACTTGAAGGCGTCAATGCCCAGTTGGTCCAGCAGAAGGAGCTCCAGGAAGAGGCCCTCGCCGTCATTGAAAAGCGGCGAGTGGCTTCGCTCGAGCGCGAGCTGTGGAAGCATCAAAAGGCAAACGAGGCCTTCCAAAAGGCGCTTCGGGAAATTGGAGAAATTGTCACGGCTGTCGCTCGTGGTGATTTGTCCAAGAAGGTCCGAATGAACAGCGTGGAAATGGACCCCGAAATTACCACTTTCAAGCGCACCATCAATACCATGATGGACCAGCTGCAGGTTTTCTCCAGCGAGGTGTCTCGCGTTGCGCGCGAAGTCGGAACCGAGGGAATCCTCGGTGGTCAGGCGCAAATCGAAGGTGTCGATGGCACCTGGAAGGAACTTACTGACAACGGTTGGTTTATACTTGAACACGCATTGTTTTAGGGCACATACTAACATCCATCCAGTCAACGTCATGGCTCAGAACCTCACAGACCAAGGTATGCACTCCCTCACACGATCATCCGTCCTCAGAGATCCACCAGACTAATCACATGTACCACAGTGCGCGAAATCGCCTCTGTCACCACAGCCGTCGCTCACGGCGATTTGACCAAGAAAATTGAACGCCCCGCCAAGGGTGAGATCCTTCAACTTCAACAGACCATAAACACCATGGTGGACCAGCTTAGAACATTTGCTTCTGAAGTCACTCGCGTAGCCAGAGATGTCGGAACCGAAGGTATCCTTGGGGGACAGGCCGATGTCGAAGGGGTACAGGGCATGTGGAACGAACTGACGGTGAATGTGAATGCCATGGCCAACAACCTGACTACGCAAGTGAGAGACATCATCAAGGTAACAACAGCTGTCGCCAAGGGTGACTTGACGCAGAAAGTACAGGCAGAGTGCAGAGGTGAGATTTTTGAGCTGAAGAAGACGATAAATTCCATGGTCGACCAACTGCAGCAGTTCGCGCGGGAAGTCACCAAGATTGCCAGAGAAGTCGGAACTGAAGGTCGACTCGGGGGTCAAGCTACCGTTCACGATGTTCAAGGCACGTGGCGAGATTTGACCGAGAACGTGAATGGCATGGCCATGAACTTGACCACACAAGTGCGCGAAATTGCAAAGGTCACCACTGCCGTCGCGCGTGGTGACCTTACCAAGAAGATTGGGGTCGAAGTACAGGGTGAGATTTTGGATCTCAAAAACACCATCAATACCATGGTTGACCGTCTGGGGACTTTTGCGTTCGAAGTCAGCAAAGTCGCGAGGGAAGTCGGAACGGACGGTACCCTTGGCGGACAGGCTCAGGTGGATAACGTTGAGGGCAAATGGAAGGATCTCACTGAAAACGTGAACACGATGGCCAGAAACCTCACATCTCAAGTATGCACCCTCGGCTCTCTTGTCGCCCTATCCAATGTGCTAACCGATTGTGACTTTAGGTGCGGGGAATCTCGACCGTCACGCAAGCTATTGCCAACGGCGACATGAGCCGCAAGATTGATGTTGAAGCTAAGGGTGAGATACTCATATTGAAGGAGACCATCAACAACATGGTGGACCGGCTTTCCATATTCTGCAACGAGGTGCAAAGAGTAGCCAAAGATGTCGGCGTTGATGGTATAATGGGTGGGCAAGCCGACGTGGCTGGGCTCAAGGGTAGGTGGAAGGAGATCACCACGGACGTAAACACCATGGCCAATAACTTGGTAAGTTTTGACGATTGACTGTGGAGGATCTCTCGCTAACTGACTGTTGCCAGACGGCCCAAGTGCGTGCTTTTGGTGACATCACCAATGCCGCAACCGACGGGGACTTTACCAAGCTCGTCGAGGTCGAAGCATCCGGGGAAATGGACGAGCTCAAAAAGAAGATCAACCAGATGGTGTACAACCTCAGGGACAGTATTCAGAGAAACACGCAGGCCAGGGAAGCAGCCGAACTGGCCAACAAGACCAAGTCCGAGTTCCTCGCCAACATGTCACACGAGATCCGTACACCGATGAACGGCATCATAGGAATGACGCAGCTCACTCTTGATACGGACTTGACGCAATACCAAAGAGAGATGCTCAACATTGTCAACTCGCTTGCTAATAGCTTGTTGACCATTATCGACGACATTTTGGATCTGTCAAAGATTGAAGCGAGGAGGATGGTCATAGAGGAGATCCCCTACACTTTGCGTGGCACTGTCTTCAACGCGCTCAAGACGCTGGCTGTCAAGGCAAACGAGAAGTTCCTTGATCTCACATACCGTGTCGATCACTCGGTGCCGGATCATGTGGTTGGTGATTCATTTAGGTTGCGTCAGATTATCTTGAACCTGGTTGGCAATGCCATCAAGTTTACAGAGCACGGTGAAGTCAGCTTGACGATCCAGAAGGCCTCTCAAGTCCAGTGCAGACGGGACGAGTACGCCATCCAGTTTATCGTGTCCGATACGGGAATAGGTATCCCGTCGGACAAGCTTGACCTCATCTTCGACACGTTCCAACAGGCTGACGGTTCCATGACGCGCAAGTTTGGTGGCACGGGGTTGGGTCTATCCATCTCCAAGAGACTTGTCAACTTGATGGGCGGTGATGTCTGGGTTAAGAGCGAATACGGCAAGGGCAGCAAGTTTTACTTCACCTGTGTTGTACGTCTTGCCAAGGACGACGTCACCATGATTGGGAAGCAACTTAATCCCTACAAGGGACACCAGGTACTGTTCGTCGACAAGGGTAGGACTGGTCACGGATCCGAAATTGCCAAAATGCTTCACCAGTTGGGTTTGGTTCCGATTGTTGTCGACTCTGAAAAGAGCCCTGCTCTGGACAAAGCCCGCAGCCAAGGCTCATCACCATACGATGTCATTATCGTCGATTCTATTGAAGACGCTCGCAGGCTGCGCGCGGTTGATGACTTCAAGTATCTGCCGATTGTTCTCCTGGCTCCTGTCGTGCACGTGTCACTCAAATCTTGTCTCGACTTGGGTATCACTTCATACATGACGACACCTTGCCAGCTGATTGATCTCGGCAATGGCATGGTACCCGCCCTTGAGAACAGGGCAACTCCCTCACTGGCTGATAATACCCGCTCATTCGAAATTCTTTTAGCAGAAGATAACACGGTCAATCAGAGGCTAGCTGTCAAGATTTTGGAGAAGTACCACCATGTGGTGACAGTGGTAGGTAACGGCGAAGAGGCGGTAGAAGCTGTGAAGAGGAAGAAGTTCGATGTCATTCTTATGGATGTACAAATGCCGATCATGGTAGGTTTGATATGACTGCTAAAAGAGGCCGTATTTGGCTGACAAGTGTGTAGGGTGGTTTCGAGGCTACTGGCAAGATCCGTGAGTACGAGCGCAGCTTGGGCACTCAGAGGACGCCTATCATCGCATTGACAGCCCACGCCATGATGGGTGATCGCGAAAAGTGCATTCAGGCACAGATGGACGAGTACTTATCCAAGCCTCTTCAGCAGAATCATCTGATTCAAACTATTCTCAAGTGCGCCACGCTTGGTGGCCAGCTCCTCGAGAAGAACAGGGAGCGAGAGCTTGCTCGTGCGGCCGACGCCGTGACAGGTGCCCGACGCGACACTGTGCCCTTGTCGGCAGCATCGCAGGCATACCAGACGGCGGCTGCCACGATTGCTTCGGCCTCTGTTGCTGCCTCCACCTCGTCCTCAACCCGTCCATCCCTCTCGACTCGCGCGATAACTGCGGCTGAGGCGCTTACAGCCGGTCTGGACAGTCCCACCCTGGTCGCTGGAGTTGATCAGGAGGACCCTCTAAGCAGGGCACGTAATAATCTCTCTGAACCAAACATACATACACGACGCTGAATGTTGTGAAACCTTGATTTGAGTTCTCAAAGCTGACCAGTTGTTCTGGGTTGCGCGGTTTTTATAGTTGCTCATGAGGGCGCATAGCACTTGATCTTCAAAGTATAAAGAAGCGAGACCATCATCACCATCTGCCTGAACCTCAGGAAGCTCGAACCAGTACCAGCTGACGAACGAGAGGTGGTTCAGCTAAAGGTTTTTTGGTTTCTATTTTGTCTTGTTTCTCTTGATGATGACACACAATGTACACGCTGCCGACTCTGGGGCTTTCTCCCCTCTGTTGCTCACTTTCGGATCTTGGTTGGTTTCATGGGATTTTTGGGTTTTTACTGGTTGTTTTTTTGTTATTACAATTTTCCCTCGTGAGCTATTTGAGGAGAGAGAGGGGGAGTTTTTACGACTGTCTTGAGATTTTCTTCTCTTGTTCTTTTCTAGCTGGAATATTGATGATGGGTTTTTTTATTTTTTTGGAAGCATGCAATTGCGATGAATGATACCTAGCCCTGTTAGAAACATTTGAGAGAAGAGGCAGAGAAAGGTTCTTTTTTTCTTTCTTTTTTTGTCATTTCAATTGATTTGTTTTTTGTTGATCTTCTATGTGCCTCGTCTGCATTTGATTAAATGCTTTGGTGGGAAAGGGGACAGTTTGTTAGTTTTGATATTTAACTTTCTGTTGCCTTTTTTGATGGGCGAAGAAGAATAAATGGACTTTCATCTTGGAAGATTCCAAGGATTGATGGGGGGATAGCGAGACAGAACAAAACCTTTGAGAGTGGAGTTGGTTTCCATGATTGAAACTTGCTGAGTGATTAGAACTGTGTGTGCTGTCTTTGGGTTCAAATGGGAAATGTTCAATAGAAGCAAGGAATAGACAAATTCTTTCTTTCTTTCTTTCTATCCAACCAAGTATATGTATGAGAAGAATTACAAGATGAAGGTTTCTCGTCTTTAGATCCCAAGGTTCCGTCCATCGTGATAAGATTTTTTGTATCATCGATTCACACTAGATATAACCAATGTTTAATGACTTGCATTATTTTATGATTCTAACTTGAATGGGAACAACAACCAACTACCAGTGGATTGCATGGCCGTGTGGTGTAGTGGTAGCATACTTGCTTTGGGGTTAATTCCTCATCATTGATTAATGATTGCAAGTGGTCCCAGGTTCGAGCCCTGGCTCGGCCCCATCCCCATCAATTTCTTCTTCTTAGAAGTGATATGTTTTGATGTTTTAAATCATACCGTACAAGAAAAGGAATCGGTTCAGATTTTCATCTTTTTTTGTCTTCTCTTGTTTTTGAAATCTACCTTTCTGAATCAGAGGGAACAAGGAACCTATCTCTTTGGATTATGCTGTACCGAGTCTTTTGTCATTCGGGAATTGGGTTTCAACAGGACCGTGACTAACCAGGCCGCATGACATGGAGATTAATGCCTACTAACGGCTGGGTTGTTGTAAACTGCCTCAATTAATGGTTATAATTACAGAGAAGAAGAGCCCTTGTAAAATGCCTTATCTAAACTAATTTGAACAATGACATGATTTGATTTAGTTTTCTGTATTACACGAAAGAGTGAGGGGGTGATGTGGTACCGCTTTCTCCATGCGAGGCAGAAATTAAATCACTTGACCACATATCAATCTGAGTTGCATACATACACATGTACCGTGTCTCTGTCTGTCTGTCCGTCTGTCCAACAAACTTATCTGCCTTGAGTTCTTTGAGTGTGTGTATGCCTTGCCGTATTCCTATGTTATGTGGTAGGTAAATTATTCCGTATGCCATAATTGCTGTGTTTTGCAAGACAAGAAGGAGGAGGGGAGGTGGTATCATCGTGAACACTTCACTGGACATCTGAGCAGGGTTGGTTACATCTACATTACATCTGCCTCTATCTGCTCAACCCGAACTTGCCTGCTTGAGGGGTCACGATGTGTATGTGTTTCGCCGTATTTTGCGTTGTGGTAGGTATAGACTATAGATACCTTGGAAGATAAAAAGACAATGTGGTGTCTGTATTAGATTGACAAAGCTCTGGGTAATATTTTCCCTGGTTCTTGTAAGACAAAGAGACAAGAAGAGGGGTGGATGTATCCCCGAGAGAGGGAGAAAGAGAGGGAATCAAGGAAATCAGTCGACTTGACATTTGAGCAACTCCATGCGAGGTTACAATTCACATGTACTCTCTACTCAATTCAGACTCACCTACATGAGTTGTGCTGTGTTTGTAGACACCGAGCAGTCCGTAGACAGATTTCACGAAAAATGCAATCCTCGTATGGAACATAATTCAGAATCTAGATCATCCCTTTCCGATCCCATAAAGCAAAGGATGATGAACCTCGGAGGGTTACATAAAAACGCATATACACGTGTACAACGCCATCCATCCATCCACGTCCAAAAAACGGTACCGATCCAACATCACAAAAGTCTAGACCACCACACCGATAGACACCGACCTCTTTTTCTGAGTTCTGACATTCCGAGTGGTGGTGGTGGTGGTCTAGACCTTCGACAATTGGATCGATCAAGTAAGAGAGAGAGACGGGACGCTCGGGAGAGACAAGCATGGATGGGACAATCAAATTGTTTGCCTTGGCTTACCTGCTGCTCTGGTTGGTTGGAATGGTTATCGCGGTTGGTTTAAATGGTTGGCTTACATTGTTTCGCGTTGCTTCCCTTCCTGCGTGTGTTTGCTTTGTGGACTTGGTTGGTGATCATGCAGTGTCATACCACACACCACATACACGGGCAGAAAAGCCTTTAAATTATCCCGAGGGGATGATGATCGTCATGAGGAGAGGGATACGGTACACCTGCTGATTTGATACGAATTACAAGATGGAATAGAATAACATAGATAACCAAAACTTTCGTTTGTATCCGTGAAATTGTCATGTTATATGTATGCCTTTTCATCCTCAACAACTCGACGGAGAACCTTGACATGCATGTAACTAGACACCACCCAGACACACGCACACATACATGGACACGGACACGGACACGCAGACCTCCAAAATTTATCCCGATGGATCATCAGTCCTGATCGTGAGAGGATGAACGGCACACTCGTGTATAGATAGATATAAACTCATATCCTATAGTAACAACGTACAACATAATACCAACTCAGATCCCATCATGATAGTGTGCACCTGTAAATACTTACCCCAATCAAAATTGATTTTCGTCTTGTATATCCATGAAATTAGCATGTATGTACGTCCCACCCCCTCATCCAATCCACGAGAAACCTCAACATGCAGCCTGCAAGTACCATCACACCACTGTCACATCACATCCTCAAAAACTACTTTACGCTTCTCCAATCAGGGAATACCCTCACATGCCTTCCCCCTTCCCGCCTCCCTTTCCCACCCCCCTCAAGAGCACACACAGTCCAATTACCTTTGCCAAAAAAAAAAAAAAAAAAAAAAAAACTACGTGGAGAAAAACAAGGAATAAACAAGGAAAATCCAAAAAGCTTGACCGTAAATGTTGCATCCTGCATGTTATATGTACACCATGACACCCTGGATAAGTCAGTGGAGATCGAGGATTAGCTTGACAATCGAAGATCCCGGGATACCTATGTCATCGGGAGAAAAGGACCCAAATCAGTGAGGGGAGGGGGTAATGAATGTGGTCGTCATCGAGATGCAGAAATTCAAGTTGTGTTCCCCCAAATTGCTTTTACCACCACCACTACTACCACTACTGCGAGCAATCGAAATATGATCCTCTCGTCTTGGACTGGTACTTCCCAAATTAACCGTATCTGTTGCATCATGGTGGCGGCATCATGTTTGCTGTGATAACTTTTGAGTCTTGTGAAAATACCCAATCCCCATGGGAAGAAGGTTCATATGTGCATGCAAAATAGCTCGAGGACTTGCTGAAAAACCACTATCCGGGAGTCGTTGGGCTATAAACATAAAGATATAAATATAGAGAGTAAAAAGTCAACTAACGAAATAAAAGGCCCCACATTGTTCATCAAATGTTTCTGCTCTGCTTCATATCATATCCAAAACAAATTGCTGCGGGGGTATCTAATGTCGTTCTGCCAGCCAAGAACAACAAGTAAAAAGAAAACAATCTCGAATAGACATGACCCAAATTTCATAAAGTCAATTTACTGAGTTCGACGATCAACAATCTCGCCTGCCTTTAACAAGGCACTCATTCCATCCAAGCGAGGATCTGGCTTCGCTTGATGAGTGTATCTGGGGCCCGAAGGCGGGTGAGGCGCTCCATAATTTGAGCTCATGGGATTTGAGCCTACAGCTGGGTGTGAAAGCGAGGGCCTGGTATGGTAACCTTTGACATCCGTGTCAGTAAATTTCCAGAATTTAAGTGGTGAAAAGGCGCACCATTTATAGACGGCAAACTACCGACGCTATTTGAAGGTTGATGGTTGATAATTGGTTTCTGCTCAGCCGAGTAAGGGCTGCTGTGAAACAAATGTGACTGTCGTTGCGGCTGATGCTGGTGTTGTTGTTGTTGTTGTTGTTGTTGTTGTTGTCGTTGTTGTTGTTGTTGTTGTTGTTGTTGTTGTTGTTGTTGTTGTTGTTGTTGTTGTTGTTGTTGTTGTTGTTGTTGTTGTTGTTGTTGTTGTTGTTGATGATGATGATGATGATGATCCAACTTCGGCTCTGGCTTTGATGAGAGCAACGAGTGGATTGGCATTTGTCCCTCGAGTGGTGTTCGTGGACTTCCATAAGATGGGTCGGTTTTTATATGTGGCGGTGCCCTGTTGTCGCCGCCTAGATGATGGTTGGAAAGAGACCCCGGACTCGGCATGGGATCACGCTGGAATCGATGGTAGCTGTTGACTTCGTTTCCAGGATGGATACCACCGCCGAACGTTTGTCCGTCGAGCACGTCAGAGAGGGACGGAAGGGGCGCATGGACCGGAGGCTGTTCCGGACGGTCATCCCCCCAAGTCGGGCTTCGCTGCTGACTTGGCATTGGACGGAGTTCTTGCGGATGCGAGTTGAAGATTGGTGAGCGGTCTGATGACATGTGCTCAATGCTTGGAGCAATCGGGGAATGTATAGCCTCGTCTTGGGAGGCATGAGATGTGGTCATGGATACGGTCGAGCCCATTCTTTGCTGTCTGTTCACTGGGGGTTCGCTGCCTCGACGGCTTTCCGTCCTGCTGCCGCTCCTGCTCGACCTGTTGGTAGTTGTATTTGGGCTTGATCGCCTCTGAGAACCCGGCTCGGACATTTTGAGTCTCTTGGAGCCATCCTTGTCTGTAACGCTGCGTTAGGGGATGCGTCTATACAGCCAGAAGGGCGTACAAACCTTGAGAAGGGGAACTATGCTTGGCCTTGAACTCTTGCAGATAGGCCATGTACTTTTTGTAGTCGGCTGTCTTCTTGTATTCGGCAAGATCGGCCAGGTACCTCTCCTTGATTGACTGAGCTTGCGATTCGAATGGCTCCTTCTCGGCCGTGGTCAAGTTCTGCCAATTCTCACCAACTAGCTTCGCTATCTCGGTGAATGACAGATTGCGGCCTTTGAGTTCTTCTCTCATCTCTGCAAGTAGGATTGGCTGTCAGGGATCACATCTAAAATCGCGCCGTCTCGGTGGTACAACTTACTATTGGAGAACAAGACATAAGCCGAAGGAGGTCGTTCAGGGGCATTCTCATCCGGCTAACCACGGCATGCTGGTCAGTAACACAGAGAGACAGAGATGAAGTCTCAGAGCGCTTACTTTTGGATGACGTCGGTACTTCCTTTTGGCGACGACAACGATGCCTAGGTCTCGAGTCTCCAATCTCGGGGCATCGGCTCTTTGTTGATCTTGAGATCGATTCTCTTCACCGCTGGGTTGTGTTGGTGAGATCAGAGATGCATCTGAGGCAACGCCTCGGGCGTTCGCAATCCGCCTTTGAAGTTTCTGTGTGAAAGCCCAAGGTTAGCTCAGATGAAAGGTTTACGAATTGAAAAACCATTCTTACACGGCGGTGACCCAGCTTCACACCGAGTGCGTCACTATCATATGAACATCAAAGATTAGCATCATGGTCACGATATTACACTGCCAACCATCGTCATCTGGCTTACGTACAAATCCGATTCAGTGATATCCAAGATGGTGTCCCAAGTGTCGAATCCCTGATCCAAGAAGGCACTGAGATACTGGCTGATTCCCAACTCCCCGAG